ATTTCAGTTGCCTGCAGGCCTGACCTTCAAAATGCCAGTCTCTCCCTCTCTTTGCCTCTGGGCTTTCTCTTCCTGTATGCATGGGAGGTCATAAATACAGGGGGATTAACATCCCACAGCCAACAACCAGTTACTGGCAGTAGTTGATGTATATATAAGTACCCCCAGCTCTCTTGTTCTTCCCATGATGAAACTTGGACATGATAAATCTTAGTAGGACTAACTGGGAACTTACTTTGCAACACACCCTTTATTGGCCGCCTTTCCTTTCCTATTTAATTTCCTCATTTTTCTACCAGTGTTTCCTGGGGTTACCTCCTTTATAATCTACTTGCAATTGAATCCCTGCCTTAGGACCTGTTTCTGGCAGAGCCCGAACTAAGACAACCAAGTGGAGAGAGAGGTCACATAGGCAGGTGTGTTGACGCATCTAGAGTCACTAAAGAAATGATGATAGACAAGAGGTCCAAGGACTAAGCCTTCAGGTAACATTTAGAGGCTACAGAGATGAAAAGGACACAGCAAAGGAGCTGTAGAAGAAGTGGCAAGAGGTAGGAGAAAAATGAGACGTGTGTGTTGTCCCAGGAACCAAGTGGGAAAGGTGTTTCGGGAGGAAGGATGAAGCCTAAGAACTGACCATTGGTTTTAGCAGCGTGGAGGTCGTTGGTGACCCTGAGTAGACTCCAAAGTAGGGTGTTCATATCCTAGGGAGTGCCCAAGATAATTCACTGGGATGCGGGCAGAAAATATTAGCATTTCCATTTATATTTATTTGTAATTATAACTTTTTAATTTCTATGATTATGTATATTAGCATTACAATCATATAATTTATAAATAAATATACATATATTAGAGTAGTGCTCAAAAGTGTTTTATTGATAAAGGAAGCCAATCCAAGAGTATATAGACCATCACCCTGCGGTACCAGGGTCTTTCCGGCCTCAACATCTTCTCTCCTACACGTTCCGACTATTAGAACCTCTCCTTATTGCTACCCTTCTGCTTTCCTGTAGCACTTAATCCGACTCCTGGGAAAGTGTTAACAATCTTCCCTGACCCCCAGACTAGGGGTACATCCCCTTGTTTCATGCCCCCATTGCGTCCCTCACTCTTACTCTCCAAGTCTGCTGTGCCACATATCTTCCATCTGCCCCTCCAAACCCGTTCTTCATTCAGTGTTCTTCTGTCCCACACCACATCAAGGCTCCTTAGTCCTCTGGGCTTCAGTTGGTTTTGGTCTGTAGGGAGCCCTTGCAGGGGATCAAAGGAAGGAGAGGGCGGGCCTGATATCTATCCCTCCAGCCCCTCACTGTAAGGTTGACTCAGCCTGGCCGTGTGTCTAGAAGAAAGGTCTCAGCTCCCCTCGGAGCAGCCTTTGCTTCATTCTAATATCTGCTTCCTCCCCATGAGCGGCCAACAACCAATTACTGGCAGACTTATTTGCATGGTCCATTCTAGGTCTAAAAATTTGAATTATTGGTTTGTCAGAAAAGTCATGATATATTTTTTCTGTTTTTCGTTGTAAAAATACATCATGACTTTTCTGACAACCCAATGGTTCCTGACACTTAATAATTGGAATATTTGCATAAAATTCATATGTCTGGATTCTCTTGAAAAGATCAGATTTGACAACACTGAGCCTACATTCCTACAGTAACCATTGTCTGGAGCTGAGCAGCAGCTGTGCCTTTGCAATGGGGCACGGACTCATCAGGACTTCACAGCCTCCACTACTCCCTATTGTATCACCATAAGCTTGCCACCCAGTTAGTGCCCTGGCCTCTAGAGACATTTCAGTTTGTAAATCCTGCTTTCAGGACTGTGTTGCCCACTAGGTGGGACCTGTATCAGATTCTTCACCAGATTTGGAGAAAGACAGGTTTACTTCTCAAATCTGTGTGCTTCTCTCTCTCTCCCCTGCTACTACCAAGAAATCCTCGCTCTGGGATTGCTATCACCACCTCCTAAACCACTGCCCTGCTCTAGGGCTTGCTCCTCTTCTATCCATTTCCCACACTGCAGCCAGAGCACTCATTTCAAAATGGAAATCAGATTATGACACGCTCCCTTAACACATTGTAATGTCTTTCCACTGCCCTAAAGATAAAGGCTACGTTTCGTAACACAGTGGCCCAGGCTCTGGATTATCTGATCCCTGCCTACCGCACCAGGCTGGTTTGGTCTCTCCCCCTTATTCTGTGTATCCAGCATAGTGGGTTCCTCTCGGGTCCCCAAACACACACATCATTCCCACAGCCAAGTGTTGGGGCTTCCCCCTCACCTTCTGGTTCCAACTGTTTCCTTTCTTGGGGAGACCTTCCCGTTCTCCTCTCTGTACCCCTTCCTAATATGTGCCACACTTGTACTAAGGGCTTTTTCAAAGCTTCTTTCTCATTGGACTGTAGGAAGAGTGTCTGTTTTTTTTCATTGCCTAATGCATAGTAGGTATTCAACTGAACATTTGTTGGAAGAGTAGATTTAGAGAGTTCTTCATGGCACAGCAGTTTCTACCACTTAGTGACAATTTGGAATACCAGGGCTTTTTAAATGTTGTACATGATTATGCATGTATGTTGTGAGGCATGGCTGTAATCTGATTAAACACACAGTGGAGGATACAGGTCCAGACTAGAGTGAAGCCATCCGGTGTCCCACTGTGGGAGCACAGCCTTTGCTAAGAACCACTCAAATATAAACTTTTTAAAAGTAAAATAAAAATGGATTGTGCTAAAGGGAGGTTTGTAACTGCAGCCTCAACTGCACCATGGCCTGATTCTCAAGCACTCATAATGTGGGGAACGGTGTGCAGCTGCAGCGCGGCAGAGAGGGGCAGCGTACAGGGACACACGCTTTCTTAGAAGCCGGGACCAGGCTAGCGGAGGACCAAGGAGGAGCAGTGGTCTCTTCTTCAGGCCATCTGCCAGACTGAAGGGTGGAATTCATTGGCCATTGAAAGAGCAGCTCACCCAATAGGTTACGCAAGACCAGGAGTTTGTTTTAGGTAACACAATGGTGAAGTCCATTGTTGCCGCAGACATTACAGCCCCCAGGATTCTGCTCGGTTATGGCTTGCCTCCTCCTTCCCCAGTATTGCCTCCCGAGAGCAAGCGTGGCCACATCAGACCCCAAGGAACCCTGCCTCTTTCCATTCTAGAAGCCCTACTGGGCCTACTTTAATATACCGATAACACTCCTATTTTGAACTAGTAGTGTCTATTTTCATGGGGATAACTACTGTGCCAAAGTTCTTCAAAGAAGTTGTTTTGCAAGTAGGTCAAACAAGATTTTGTTCTCCCCATTTACTTGCCTGGAAAATCCTTCTTAGCTAATAGAAAGTCTGGTCCACTTTGAACCAAAAAAATGAAGGTTTACTTTGGAGTAGAGATTCATTCATTTTTCAAACATTAACCATTCTTATTACATGATGAATCTATATTAACTGTATAATTAATTGTAGGAAAATTAGAAAATACAGACAAGGAAGACAATTTTAAAGGAAAACCACCCATGATCCCCCATTCATAAAATAATTGTTCAAAACATTTTGGTGAATTTTTCTATGCAAGTGTGTATTTGTATTTTTTCCTCACTTGTTCCATATTGAACATCTTTTCATGGCAATTAAGAAAGATCAACACCATTATTTTGATAGCTGCATGGCATACCATCTTTTGCTGGACACTTAAGCTGTTCCCAACCAATATCACAGAAATCTTACCCAGGCAATCTTGTACATGTGTCAGATTATTTCTGTAAGATTAATTGCCAAAAGTGAAACGGCTAGGTCAAAGGGTGCGACCATTTTTAAGGCTCTCAATATATAAATACCAAACTACAGTCCAGAACCACATACCGATGAATCCTCCCTCTGGCTGCACATTGCAGTGCCTGTGTCCTCATGCCCTCACCAACATGCCACTCACTAAGTACAGTGCGTCCAGGCACTGACCCAGTCAGATAAAACAGCCCACACAATGGCAGAGCTGGGAGGAGGAGACCAACATTTACAGGCCAGCGTGCCAAGTTCATAGTACAGAGAATACACCAAATCTGGACTTCATGACCTACGTAGGACAGCTGTCATAGAAGGCTTCCTGGAAGAGGTTGGTTCTGAGGCTGGCCTTGAGGGACCATCAGGAGTTAACTGAGTAAAGATTTGGAAAAGGGGGCTGGACAAGTGGCTCAGTTGGTTAAGAGCTCGCTCAAGAGTGTGAGCTCTGAGCAACAGCCGTTCGATGCCCGGCCCCAGCTGAGCTGCCACTGAGCTGCCAACAGGTAGCAGGGTGGCTCAGCTAAAAAAAAAGAAAAGAAAGAAAGAAGGAAGGAAGGAAGGAAGGAAGGAAGGAAGGAAGGAAGGAAGGAAGAAGGAAGGAAGGAAGAAGGAAGAAAGGAAGGAAGAAGGAAGAAAGGAAGGAAGGAGGAAGGAAAAGGAAAGAAAGAGAAGGGAAGAGAAGAAAGAAAAGAAAAAGAAAGGGAAGGGGCAGGAACCAGATAAAGGAAATGATCCAGGTAGAGGAAAGGTCCCAGGCATGAATGTGCAGTCCCTTTTCAGGGAACAATAAAAACTTCCATAGTAGCTGGACTGAAATTGTGCAGGAGCAAGTGAGGATGGTGGACAGGAGTAATGGATGATGAGGTGGAAGAGATGGGTTGGGTCTGATCAAAAGGGGCTTTATTGGCTGAGCAAGGGAGCTTTAACTTTGTCCAGGAAACTGGATAAAGATCATCAAACTCCTGTGTTGGGAGGCAAAAGTTGGCATCAAAACCTGTGTGTGGAAGACTCACTGATGATCAGGGAGGATAAGCACTGATGTTGAACTCAAGAATTTTGCTCTCTGTCATCACTGCTGATGAGCTCTGTGAGCTTGGGCACAGTCTTTTAATCTTTGTGTCTAGTAAAATAAAGGGGTCTGTTTAGGTCTCTTCCAGTTCTAAATTTCTATGAGCCTGTGAACACTGGCACATCCTTTTACTTTTTTTTTTTTTTTCTCCAGAAAAGGTGGCCATTAAGATCTTGGACAAGACCAAGTTAGACCAGAAAACCCAACGGCTACTATCCCGCGAAATCTCCAGCATGGAAAAACTGCACCACCCCAACATCATCCGCCTTTACGAAGTTGTGGAGACCCTCTCCAAGCTCCACCTGGTGATGGAGTATGCAGGGGGTGGGGAGCTCTTTGGGAAGATTAGCACCGAGGGGAAGCTCTCAGAACCAGACAGCAAGCTCATCTTCTCCCAGATTGTGTCTGCCGTGAAGCACATGGTGAGCGGAGCAAGGAATGAGAGTCTCGCTTCCATTCCCCCCACAATGGGAGCATGGGGCTTTTGTTTCCATCATCCAAGTGTCCCAGGGGGCTTTCGTCCTACAAGGGCAGAAAGTAGTCCTTTCTGTGAAACTCAGAAGCCTGACTAGGACCATGCTCCTTGCCTCTGAAGCAACGCCCAGGGATCTCCAGTTACAGGGCAGCCTCTTAGCTTTGGAGCACGGTGGCAGGAGTCGATCAGAGCAGCCGGATGACCACCACCCATTCACTGGCCACAGCCATTCCTCCAACCCCATCTTCCACTACCCAGAGAGCTGGCTCCTGGCTGCTTCTTGGTCTTGCCTTCCTAACCGTGTCAAAGATTTCCTCTCCCTTGTTAACACATCTCACATTCCGAATCCTATCCACACTTCATGACCCAGCTCAGTTCTCTCTCGGAAACTTTCTTCAGTCTCACATCAGTGCTCACTGATCTTTCTTAACTTTGGTGAATTCCTTTAGCTCTTGCTGCCTCTGTGCTCAGAAGATTAACACTTGGTTGTTATTCTGATTTCAGTTCTGTGATTATTTCTTTAGATAAACCTGAATTCCTGAAGCACACTCCCTAGTTCCTTTAAGAGCCGGTTCTTCTGTGCCCTTAATATTGTTGGCCTTATTGCTGGGCACACAGGAGGAACTTGACTTGCAGACCTGACTACCACTCTTAATGACTCTGTTAGTGCAAAACACTGGCTGCTCTACACTCTTTGCCCAGATCTCAGTCTAACTGGCAGAAAAGAGAACTTGCCTGGGGTCAATATTAGTTGAGAGACTGTTTCTAGTTCTTTCCTTTGCCTGGATGTTGTGGGTCAAGGACTGGGATCAGTGACCTCCTGGACAAATTATTAGCAGGGGAATTAGTGACCTGGGAGACCCAAGATAGTAGTTGGGGTGAGAGGGGGAGAAAAAGCTAGTGAGCAAGAGAGAACCTGACTCTAATGGTGGTGGGTGTTTCCGACCTGTGGTATCATCAGTTGTCATGTAAGTGGCCTATACTGTGGTGAACCATCCCAGGGCCGGGGAACAAGCCAGACCCATATCATGCAATAGAACAGTTGGGGAAAGAATATTCCGTATTCTACCTGGAAAAGAAATCTGGTGAGAGAGCAGAAGAGAGTCCAGCAGTAGAGGGAGCAGACTGAGTTCTCTGAAGCTGTGTGCCCTGACACTTCTCCCAGCTCTCTGGTCTCTGAAAAGAGGGAGGGTGAATCATAGATATAGCTCCAAATTTTATTGAGTGTGTTTACTATATGCCAGGACCATGCTGAGCTCTGCAGACACAGTGTCACATGCAGTTCTCACAACAACCTTACGAGGTGTCTATCAGTATCCCGTTTTACAAAGAAGAAAACTGACACGCACATTACAGCTGGTATCATTGGACCTAGAGTTAACCAAGCTGTCAGGCTCCAAACCCTGGATTCTTACCCCAGAAGGCCCATTGGGAAAAGTAACAACCCATCTTCCAAGAGCCCTTGGGACTCTTGGGAGGTCAAGAGACCTCAAGATTATCTGGATTCAGAATGCAAGGATGGGGATGGGGCATGTGCTCACAACCCACAGTGGGACCTGCTGCTAGAATCTTGTCAAACATAGTTTCCTCCCTTCTACAGAATTCTGCAAAGGAGCCCACCAAAAGGAGCATGGCTGGGCCGAGTGTGTGTGGGGGGGTGCTCCAAGCCTTCTTGGGGTTGGCCCGAGTCAAGAGATTGCTCAGCCAGGAAAACCCATCTATGGCCTCAAAAATCAAGGGTTACTATTTCATTGTGTTTCAGAACACGTAGATTCATAAGATCTGGCATAATTACCTGAGTTCAGGAGTGTGGGACAGACTCCAACCACCACTCCACAGAAGAATAGAACTTTCATCTCTTCGGGGCATGTAGGTGTGTGTTTGGCTAAAGGTTATGACAGGGCAGCTCTCGAGGCTTGCTGCCATGATTAATCTGCATTGAATTTCTGTTATTACGCCATGTATTGTTTCAGAGCAACTGATGCATTTTTTTTATGTTGGTATTTTACTTTGGAAATGATCATTTTCCCATGTCTTCTTCCACAGCACGAAAACCAAATTATTCATAGAGACCTGAAAGCAGAAAATGTATTCTATACCAGTAATACATGTGTAAAGGTGGGTGATTTTGGATTCAGCACAGTAAGTAAAAAGGGTGAAATGCTGAACACCTTCTGTGGGTCTCCTCCCTACGCTGCGCCCGAACTTTTCCGAGACGAGCACTATGTCGGCGTTTATGTGGATATCTGGGCCTTGGGGGTGCTTCTGTATTTCATGGTGACTGGCACCATGCCATTTCGGGCAGAGACCGTGGCCAAACTGAAGAAGAGCATCCTCGAGGGCACATACAATGTGCCTCCGGACGTGTCCGAGCCTTGCCTCCAACTCATCCGGGGAGTCCTTCAGCCCATACCCACCGAGAGGTATGGGATCGACTCCATCATGAACAATGAATGGATGCAAGGGGTGCCATACCCCACCCCTCTGGAACCTTTCCAGCTGGATCCTAAACATTTGTCAGAAACCAGCACCCTCAAAGAAGAAGAAAATGAGGTCAAAAGCACTTTAGAACATTTGGGTATTACGGAAGAGCATATTCGAAATAACCAAGGGAGAGATGCCCGAAGCTCCATCACTGGGGTTTATCGAATCATTTTACATCGAGTCCAAAGGAGAAAGGCTTTGGAAAGTATCCCGATAATGATACTACCAGACCCCAAAGGAAGGGACCTAAAGAAAGGGTCCCGTGTCTACAGAAGCTTAAGACACACATCCAAATTTTGTTCAATTTTATAAATTGCACTAGACTGTTGGTAATTAACCAAGATCATTGTTGCTGCTTTTAAATTTTTCACACACAACTTGGTGGAGACATTTTTGTAATTTTTAAATAAATTTAAATTTAAAGTATGAATTTCCCTCCTCACCCCGCAAAAAGCCTATTAGCTCAGATTCTGACTTGATTTGCGATCTTCTCTTGTTCTCAAACTCTAGCATTCATTCATTTAATCAATAAATGGTTATTCAGGGGCGGCTGGTAAGCTCAGGTGGTTAGAGCGCAGTGTTCATAACACCAAGGTTGCCGGTTTGATCCCCACATGGGCCACGGAGCTGTGCCCTCCACAACTAGATTGAAACAACTACTTGACTTGGAGCTCATGGGTCCTGGAAAAACACACTGTTGCCCAATAACATTTCTTTAAAAAAAAAAAAAAGAAATAGTTCCCCAGTGCCTATTATGTGCCAGGCACTGTTGAAGATGCAGGGGAAACAGCAAAGAATAAAAAAAGGCCAGGTTCTTCCTGTCTTATGCGGGATATTCTAGTGCTGGACAAAGGCACTAACAAAAAGAACATTTTAAAGAGAAATAGTAGTGATAAATGCTATGCAGAGAATTCAAATAGGGTGATCTGATAGTAGAGGCTTGCTACTTTGAATTAGATCACTGGGGAAGACAAATTTGAATAGATGACAATCTGAGATCTGAATGAGAAGCAGGAGTGACTCTTGAAAAGCAAACAAAGAGCATTCCAGGAAGCTGCTAGGGGCTTCAGAGGTTCTTCCCAAATGAGCCTAAGACAAAGGCTTCCATGCAGAGTAGTTTATTTGGGAAGTGATCCTAGAGAGCAGGAGGGAGGGGTAGGGGAGAGAAACAGAAAGCCAGTACAACTTGGCGAATGCTACAGGTGACTGGTGTTCAGTCCTGCAGGATCCTTGGAGGAGCCTTATGAAACACCTCTCGGGTATCTGCCCAAGATACAAAAGGGGAAAACATTTATCCATCAGCTCCTGTTCACCATTGGTCAAGAGTGGTCCCACAGTGTTTGCCTGCCCTGCACCTCCAGATTATGCTGTGTGAGTGCCCAATAGGTTCCGTTCCCTCTGCTTCCCATGCCTTAGTGTCAGAGAAGCTCTGGAGTGGGAAGTAAGAGATACACACCACTGACCTGAGACAAGATGCAGTCATATAGGACCGTGCATGGGAAAGGTCACTGCATCGGTGGCTGGAGGAAGTGTGGCTGAAAGTGTACACGGGGGCTGTCCGACCGACACAGCCCCACTGCTGTGTTTCTACTCAGATTCCCCCTCTGTTAGGCCCAATCCATTAGTCGTCTTTTTCGAAGGGGTGGGACCTAATGCAGCAAGATTAGTAGAAAAAACTGCAGCAGTGGTCCTCAAGTTCCAGTGAATCAGAATCACCTGGAAGGCTTGTTAAAACCAACTGTGAGGCCCCACCCCCAGAGTTTTTGATTCAGGACATCTGGGGTGGGGCTCAAGAATTTGCAGTTCTAATGAGTTTCTGGGTTAATGCTGCTGTTTCTAGTCAGGGACCACACTTTGAAAACGACTAAGTGACAGTCATTACTGCAGCTGGTCCTGAGGCTGGACTCACCCCTCTCCCTTACCCATTCTAAATTTCCCTCATCTTTGGCCAGCATTTCAGCATGTCTAGGTTGACCCAGACCTTTATTATCAAAGGATCTGAGCCTTTTGTTGCCCTTGTCAGAGCATGGTTGCTACAATTGTCTGCTTGCTGTTACCAGGAGGCCATAAAGTGACACTCCAGTGAATCTCTTGGGTTCCAGACATACTCCTCTTTAACTCCTTATGATAATCGGGGTCAATAATCTCCTCCAGTATAACAGCTCCTTTCTTTGCCTCCTTGTCAACTGGCATGGAGATCCCAAAGTGACCATGTGGCAGTCGTAGATTCCAACTCACTGGACCCTTACTGGGTTCCCTAGTGAAAGCATTCCTCAGCCCTCAAGAACCAAAACCGCTAATCTAGTTGAGCCTAGGTTGTAGGAAAGAAAAGTAAAAATTCTAGTGGGTCACTGATTGCGATGCTGCAAGAAGTCAATCCTCCTTCTACCCATCAGTCCCCAGACCTGTGCATTTTAATAATAGGGAAAAAAAAATATATATATATATGTGTGTGTGTGTGTGTGTGTGTGTATATATATATATATATATATATATATATATATATATATATGTCAGCCATTGTTACAGCATGTACACTGAATCGTGGACAGCACCTCAGCCCTGCAGGTACTGTCTACAGCCCGGTGCCTTAGCTGAGTCACTCCACTAGCTCTACTTATGTGGGCTGCTTCTGATGTTGAGGTGCATATTCAGGTGAGCAGACCCTGTGGTTGATCAAGTGCCCATTGCCCCACTGCCTTTGCAAAAAAGTGGTCCTTGGGGTGATGTTATGTGAAATATCATGACAATGGATCAGATATTCTCTATGCTGTAGCATGATTATTGGGGGATACACTGCAAGCAGGAAAGGCAAACCCATATCCTGAGTAGATGTCAACTCCAATAAGAATACATCACTGCTGTGCCTGTCTGAATTTATGACTCTGTAGATCTGATCATGCCCAGCTCATGAGGAGACACCTCCGTTTGCTTGGTCCCTTAATGTCCCATAATCAGGTGCTCAGTCTCTAGGAGGGCACAGTAGCATGCCAGGAGCCTGCGTAGTTCTGTTGCAGAAAGCAGTGCCCCCCCCCCCCCCCCCCCCCCCGTCTCCCCCCAGGCCCTTCCGGGGCTGTGCTGTAACCTACTGGGGTTGCCAGAGACTCCAGAGTAATCGTCACTGCCACATGTACAAGCCTGAGTAGCAGCGCAGTTTGGACTGAGCCTGAAACTGAATCTTTTGTGTGTGAGATCCACTCGATACATCCTGAAGACTGGCATTCATAATCTTCAGCATCAAATTACTGCCTTTAGAATAATGGGAGGGGAGCGGATCACAGGTCAACTATTTGCTTCCACCACCAATCAGGAAAAAAAATGAGGAGCCTCTGATTCAATTAAGAGCAGTTGCTAGGAATTTTAAGGCAAGTATTCACTTTTATGTCAAGATGACAGTTTTCAATTATTTAAGGATCCTGTTACAGTCCTTGCTCTGTTGATTTCCACTTTACTGTTTCTTTCAGGACATTTCAAACAGCAGACATGAGATGAAGTGTTTCAACGAAGTCACAAGAGGATCAAAAGTAGCTGTCTGCATCTATTTGAGTTTTGTCTAGTCTTAATCTTAAGACTTACTTATTAGTGTTCATAAAAATAAACAAAACTCCAAAGGTGGAAAAAAAAGTGCACAAATTCCATAGAGGAGGAGGAGGATAGAACTCTTAAGAGTCATATTAATTAGGATTCTAAAACTTGAAGAAGTGACTTTACAGGACACTGGTCTCATTTTCTAAATGACCCAGAGGGATAGACTAGCCAGGAAAAATAAAAGAAATTATTACTAAGTTTTGAATCTAGACATGACATAAAATATAAGCTGATCAGTACTAGAAAATAATCTGGTTTAATTCCTAATTCATACAGTCCTAAGAGTTGCTAGGATTCTTAGAGATTACCTAATTCAATACCAATGCCAATGCAAAACTTCTCTGTAAAACCCCTGGGAGCATCAGCAACACGTGTCCCTGAAGCTGGCAGTGGGCATTTCTATGTTGGCTATAAAATTTGCTTTTAATCTTTAATTGCTAACCGTTGATCTTAGGCTGTTTCTAGGAAAACAAAGTAACTCTCTTCATAAAAATTTATAGCAAACTTCATACATGCTTACCACCCAATTTGGGACTTAATTTCTTTATATGAAATGTAAGAATAATGCATCATCAGTATAAATTCCTCCATACTAGACAAATAGTTCTTTGAAGGCAAAACCATATATCTTATAAATCTTTATTTCTGACTTAAGCAGGTGCCTTGCTTATATCATGTTTTCAAATGTTTGTTGAATGATGAATGAATGAATGAGTGTATGAATAGACTGACATGAAATGAAATGCCCATATTTTAAAATACCATATTAGTTGGTTTCTTGCTTAAGTGTTAGTTCAGGAGGAAAAAAGAATACTCAAATATCTGAAATATTTCTCGAAAACTTTATTCAAAGTTATTCACCTCACTGTTAATAAAGTGTACAGTTAATTTTCTGTGCCAGCATTATTAGGCCTGCCCATTGCCGGCAATGGACTTTGAGAAAACCCATTTCCTGACACTCAAAAGTTAAATTACTCTTTTCAAAACATACCGAACTCCCAATACTTGCAAAAGTATTACATGCACCGTTTCCCCATCGATCTTTTAATCTGAATTTACATTATTAAGCTACATCAGTGGATGTTAAAATGAAGTCATTTTAACAAATTATGACTGTACAAATCAAAATACCACTGGTTAACATTAGACAAGAGTATATTACAAATACTACATTACATGTTACCTTGCAATTTGAAATATTACATTTCATGTTTGTGTAACTTTATTTTGGATAACTGAAACTTCACAGAATTTAACAGCAAATAAAGTTTAAAAAAATTTAGTTCTGTACATTAGTTCCAACTATCTCTATTTTACAATCTATAAGGCTCATATCATAGTTCAGCACCAAAAAGATCTACAAAACTGTCTAACCAGTCATATTCATCCCGTGTGATAAGTTTTTTTTTAGGTGAATGTCTGAGAAAATGCTTTATAGATCCTAGTTCCAGATCTTGAAGTGGAATACTCGTTTTGGCCAGTCACACTATGTAAAAACTTGGGTTTTACCTTTTTAGTTTCATTAAACAGATTTTAAAAAGGAAAAGAATAATGACACCATGAATTTAGGTTGTCAGTCTTTTAGTTGAATTTATAACGCTGAAGCATCAGAAGTAACCTAATAATGCCTTGCCCCATCCTTCCTTTTTGTTTAAAATTTTTAAAAGGTAGCCAGAAAAATGTTTTATTTACTCTTCAAAATAAGGTACAAAGGACTGAAACAACAAACTTCCTCATACACGCATTCCAATAACGTCAATGTTGTTCAGCATAATCAACCTTGAACTGATTCAGAACAGAGCTAGAGCCACACGCATAGCTCCCAAATGTACCACGTTGCCTACACCAGCTGTCTGCCCAATGCTAGCATCTCTCTGTTCAGAGGTCATTACAATAGCTCATCACCGCTGGCCTGGACTTAAAGCAACATTCCAGTTTCCAAAACCAGTGTGACTGTCCTAACTCTCCTCTCTCTTCAGGATTTACAAATTTTAGAAAAAGAGCGTGTTTGTCTTGCAATTTTCAAACAGGGTTTGTTCATATCACTTTTAAGACCACATTCCCTAAACTAGAAACTTTTTTCAAAAACCACAGGTACTTTCAGTAATCTTGTTTATTCAAAGTATAAAATTCTCACGTGTTTAAAAAAAATTAAAATTGGACACTAGTACCTCTGCGTTTTTCTTCCAGAAGCACACGATTCATCATACCACATTTAAAAACTAAGCTTCATGCATACAAATGGCCAGAGAGGTATGAAGTTTTACCGAGCCCTTAACATCATCTGAGTACATTAAGCATTGGCTAGATCACAATAGGAAGCATATTAAGCAAATTGAGCAAAAAGACTTTCCCAAGGACACGATAGTTTTCCAGGCTCCATGTCAGTCACATAAAAATTTAAGCAACATGTAATCCTCTAAAATTGTCCCCAGACATCCCACTCCCAATCGTTCCCATACATAGCCCACCCACCCCAGCCCACACTGAAGTCTTGCACCCCACAGAAGTATCTTAATGCTCCCCGTTACTAATGACAGTTGCTTCCGGTTCTGCTGCTGTTGCAGGGAGTCTTGGCACTTTTTTAGCAGGACTTGGAATATGCTAAAATTAAAGGAAAGATGTTGTTGTCTCACATTTTTTGTTTTGTTTTTTTTTTACCTGATTTGTATAATAGCAAAAAGCAAGACAATGCATTCACCAAATTTGTGATAAGCAGATAAAATAAGTAACTTCAAGGTTATAAAATCCTTAATTTGAAGTCTGGCTATGTGATCCTGGTCACGTCTTTTAACTTCTTGTAGCCTCATCTCTAAAATGGGTATAGTGCCATTTACCTCAAGGTGGTTTTTATTAGGATTAAATTAGAAAATGTAAATACAGTACCTAGCATATAACAGGAATTCACAGCATAGCTGATTGTTAACCTCTTGACAATTTTGGAGATGGATTTGACAATGGCCCGAGAAGAGATGTGAGGACCTCAACGGCCTGTCCCTCTCAGCTCTCACCAAGACAGTACCACAAATGAGTCTTTTCTCTAGATTAGTCTTCCTTTAAGTTCTGGTACAATTTATAAAACCTAGCATTTACTGTGCACTTTTAAAATGCTAATAATTTAAGTGCAAACCACTTTATACAGCTGGAAAATGGCACAGCCAGAATCCAATCCCAGAGCCCTTGCTCTGAATTACTCTGCTTTATTGACATTCCTTTAAGTTGCTAAATCTCAGTTAGGTCCCCTAAGCCCTGAGACCTGGGGATGGAAATTTTAACCCTGTCAAAGCCCAAGACCAAACACAGTGAGCTTTACTCACCTCAGCTGCCGAGCTCGAATGCACAAGTCCTACTCCTTCATCCAATGTGTCATCATTTGGAGAGGGGCGCCGGGCGTAAGTTCTTCTGTGCTTTTCATCCACTCTAACTAAGTACCATGTTCCTTCAAGGAGTGAATCTATTGAACTCTGCGGAATATAGTTGGCTAAAGGAAAGACAGAGAATATGAAAAATTAGTTATGACATACAACTTATCTGGTAATAAAACTAAAAAAGTTGCATATTTCCCTATAATTTTCACCAACATCAGATTAGTACTGACTACAGCCTAGATATCTGGATATCCTTATACATAACATTTAACATTGTCATAACCCTCCAATATACTTTTGGGTGTATATTTATGCATATTAACAGTTTAATATTTTTACCCAAGTGATGAGTATCTTCTCTGAGCTTCATATTTTCAGCAAAGACATCTGGGGCCACACAAGTTCTTGAGTCAAGCCTTGATTTAAGATCACATAAACTTGCTGTTATTTTATCAAGAGCAGACCCTAAAATAATAAATAATTCCAACATTAAAAGACTAAAAATAGCTTAAACAAAATGTTGCCAAATGGAAAAAAACAACCTTTTTTTTTTTTTTAACTACTGCCTATTGTTTTGTTAAAGGATAAGATGATATCTACGTAACAGCTTCCTATGACCTGAGTAGACATTTGTTTAATGTCAGCCAGTAGACAAGTTCGGAAATAGGTGAGATTTAAAACTATAAATAACATTGTCTGTAGTCGATCCATGAAACAATTCTAATGTAATGCCAAGTCTGCCATCAGTTTTTCTCAATGTTTTTGCTCCTTCCAGCTCAGGGAAGACACAGAAGTTTCCTTAAATATAGCCAAGACCCTAAAGTTGTAAAAATTAGATAACTTAGATATGAGAGAATAAGAAATGATTTGATATTATTCACTCATGTGATTGGATTCAATCATTAGAGCAAAAACTCAAAAGCTGCCTGCATTAAATAGATATGCTTCCCTTTCCTCTGACTACATATGCATAAAACATGAGATAAAATATAAAATAAAGCTACTTGCCAAAAAAGGGAAAAACCAAAAGCACTGTGCCATAAAAATATTTAAGCTGATTAAGTTTCTTCTGACTTGGAAGGAAGGAAAGAAGATATCCTGACGCAGACATAATCCTACCCCTTCCCCGGTCAAGGAAGATCTTCAGCGTAGAGAGTAAAAAATCTGGCTATGTTCAAAGAAGTAATAAAGACTAAAATGTCATAATGATCTATGGGGCAGATTCAAGTGCTGGCTTGAGAAACTTGCAGAATCAACCTTACCAGTTGGTTCTCAATACTCTTGTTCAAAGACTCAGTGCTTACCTGGTGTGGCATCTTGTGTAACTTTAAGGGAGTAGAGGGTGGCAGCCAAACCAGAACCATAAGAGAACACTCCAATCCTCTTTCCTGCGAGCTGCTGAGGTGAGTACCTGTATAGGGGGAAAAGTTATTAGGAAGTTTAACTGATCTAAAAACTACTACAATGTGTAGGAAGCTAGGAGTCGGAATAAAAATCCATCCTATAGCCTTAGGGACCTAACCTAAAGCTTTACCATTACAATAAGCAGACCGAAACAACCATTTTCATCTTTTACATAAAATAAGTTACTTTGTCAGCCAGGGATTTATGGTTCAACTGTAGGTCAAGAATAATAAAGCCATAAGAACAATAGCCAGAAAAGCCAGTGTAAAATTAAATACTCCGGAATTACTGCAGCTTCACCCCATGTATCCTTCAATTCAATGGACAATTGGCTAGAGAGCCTGGAAATAAAATATTCTGTGACCTGCCACCAACATACCTGGCACCAAAGTTGGTCTTAGAATTCTAACATTCCCCAAATGAAGGGAGTTAAATAGCTGAAATTTATACTTACTGTGCTAGAAGAGAAGCAAGCGAACCATACACTGATGATGTGTACATATTTCCATTTTGATTTGATACAAGCAAGGAGGTCTTTGTTTTCTGATTAAAGAGTTCAAAACTAGCCTTCATAAATGCCTTTTCCACATCTCTATCAAAGTAGGTATCTTCTAATTTAATATCCCTGAAAGATTTGTAAAAAAGATGGTTTTACAGTGTTCAAAGACTATATTTTTATTATATTAGATAGCATACCCAGTTAGTATTCTAATCTGCAAGTGTGTTTCTGTATGATTCTGTTTTTCCATTTGTTAAAGCCAAGTAGCAGCATGACAACTGCTATGGAAGATTTAACAGTTGTACACAGTCCTTTTTCTCAAAAATTTTTATAATAAAATTAAAACAACTTAATTCTAATGGGTTACTAAAGCTTCACTGTCACCAAACAGAATATACTACTATTTTAAGTCCATAGTAATGTCTATTTAGTTAGAAGAGTCATTATATTACAGGAGCCAAGTCTTAAAAGTTTAGTAGAATTTTATCAGATGGAGAAAGGACACAGGCAAGGAGAAAGAGAATGGGTTTAACAGCCATAGCATGCTAGGAAGCCTTTACAGGGGGGATAGTGTAAGAAATATGCAAGTAGACTTTGATAGTGGCAGTGTGCAGGGTGGATATGGGCACAGGGGCTAGAGAGAGGCAGGGAGAAGACTTAAGAGGCTGTTGTAAATATAGGCAGTTGTGGGGCTATATTATCATAGTGACAATGGAAAAGAAGCCAAAAGGAGGAAATCAGAAAATCTGAGTACAAATGACTCGAGAATCCACGTAGCCATCATTTCTCTGGGACTCAGTTTCTTCATCGATGACATAAATGGGTTAGATAGACTACGTGACTTCTAAGATCCTTCTGACTCTAAAATTTTCAGGACAGTATAAATAACAGTTTAACACATAAAAAATGTTCTCATGTAGAAGGAAAAAAAATCATAACAACTCTTACCCAAAGGCTTCTAGGCCACTATAGATACTATTTTTGTCCCTGTTTTGGTCATTAAGGAAGTCATTCAGCAACATCCGGGCTAGAGATTTTTGAACCAGTTTACAATAGGGTGAGTGGAAGATCATGAAGCCAAAATCATTCAAGGTAAAATCTTTATCATTTCCCTCTGAAAAGGAAATCCAGAGAAATTATTAAATTCATATAAGTCACTAACTTTTGAAGTCTGATTTTAGAACAGGGCTGGGATGGCTTTATATCTTTCAATAGCAAACAAATATACACTGTATAATAAAATAACTTAGTGGTTTAAAATGCACATCAAAAAGACATCCACAGATAGAACAATACATATTACTGTTTTTCAAACTTAAAAGTCATAACCCATTAGTGGATTATGTCATCAATTTAGTGGATCAAGGCCAGTATTTTTTTAATCTTAAAAAATTAAGAGTATTTTTTTTAATGAAATAGAAAAGAGTAGAAAATAGCAAACTGCATAACTTGCAGCATGGATAAGTAACTTTATAAAACTTTTGTTTGTGTTTAGCATGCACAAACAATGTAAAATGTATTTCTTACTGTGGGTCCTAATAAAGTTAGAAAAATCACTGTTTGTTAAATACATGCTGTTAAATAGTAAGACATTTTATATGCTGCCAAGGATGCTTCTTATCCAGAGCCACTAGATTTCTGAATATCTGTTATTGAATATTATTTTTAATCCTCTCTCATAACCTCTATAAAGCAAGGCTGGACTATAGAAAAAGCACACTTCATATAATACTATGTGTTTTAATAGCATGAATTCAAATATTGTCCTTTTCAGCAGCACAAGAACTTTTTCACAGTTAAGGATGGAGATTAATGATGACACTAAAAAAGCAAGTGTGAATTCATAGGTCAAATGCAAACAGAGTATAGAGGGAGGGGGTTCATACTTCAGTAATTTATTTTCGCTAGTTTTCTGTGGATCACAGTTGCAAACTAAAACCTTGTGAAAATACTTCTCACAAAAGATGAACAAAATTCAAGTTACTTTCTTTTACCCTACTTCTGATTTTCTTATTGGGGGTAAATCGACCTACGTATTTTTGCAGAGATATATCTCATTTCCAAAGCTTACCTCTCTTCCTAAATTACACATTCCCAGAAACTATGGGGAAATAGCTATTTGGTGGGTGAGGAAGAAATGGTTAAAGGACACTAATGAAGGACGCCCATGAAGCAGTTTCTCAGTGAAGACACCTAGCACATCACACCACCTCAATAGATACCAGGCCAAGGAAAATGGATAACACCCACCTTTCTGCCACTGGGCACGGATCTTTCTGCGGTAGACAGAATAGCAGCGGTCTAATGCACTGAGGTAGCACTGTATGGAGAATTTTCCATCTACTATAGGATATTCGGAAAGCATATCAGGCTTGTAAAAGTCATAGGCATGTTGCATATGTGTGCCACGAAGTCCTATTGGAACCAAAAAGGAAGATGTCCATGTATTTCTGATGCTTGATGTTTGTATGTCAGTAAGCATATTGCATTATCTGGGGCCTTCCTTAACTATCTAGTCAGCTCCTGCCACGTGCAGTGTTAAGAATCACAAGGCAAAGCCAATACGTAACTGAAACAACATGTAACCTTATCCATAGACAGGCTAAGACTCCTTTGATACACAACACTTTCATGCAGGATTCATAAATCTAACTGGGATATCACAATCGCTTAACTGAACTGGAAACAAATTTGCCACTTACTGTGTTGACTATGGGCAAGTTACCCCATTAAATTATTACCCCACTTAAACCCATTTTACTTCTCAATAAAATAGGATGACATCACTTACACCATACAATTGCTATAAAGAGTAAATATAACACATATAAAGCATTTAGCAGATAGTTCCTGCATTAAATGACCACTCAGTAAGTACTAGATTCTATTTTCAAATTTCTCAGCATATTGTGCTAATTTAAAAAACAAAACAAACAAAAAACTTCCCCACTCACCTCGTTCAAAGATTAAAGGAGCATTTGGCCCGATTAGCAAAGCAACGGCTCCAACTCCACCTGTAGGCCTAGCATTTCCTGTGGCATATACAGCAATATCTCCTGCAACTACCAGGGCATACCGTCCTGAAAAACATTTTTTGTTAGTACATACAGTGATCAACACTATAAATACCATACGTGCAAACTGAAATGTTATCTTTCCCCCAGAATATGCTTTTCCCATATTTGGTAAAGAAAAAAAGGTCTCATTAAATTTTAGTAATTTTATCCAACACAATAAACAAGTCATAATTCAGATTAGTTAAAAGTCATAGCTATCTTCCTGAATATATTCAAACAAGCCTAACCGGTAAAAGTTTGCACATGGCATTAATTAAAAGGTCGTTTTGGCTTATTCATCTGTAAAGAGTTTCTTTGGAGTAGAGGCATGTAACATACCATCCCAAGAGCTAGACTCAATCCAGTTAACAGCATTGAAAACAGCCGCTGTGCCTCCATAGCATGCATTAGTTGTGTCTATTCCTTCTATATCTGTGTTCCCAGACTCCTCAAAGAGCTGCATCAAATTAGTCTTCACTGACTTTGATTTGTCGATGATTGTCTCCGTTCCAACTTCTAGCCGCCCAATGCAATCATACGAAAGGCTGTTCCTCTCCATAAGATTCTGAACCACAGTCATGCAGAGAGAGTTGATGTCTTCTCTATCTGTGCAGAAGCCCATCTTGGCCTGGCCCAAGCCAACAGTATACTTTCCAGCATCTACACCATCATATTTTTCCAACTCTGCTTGATCAACATATTGAGAAGGAATATAGATCTCAAGTGCAACAATTCCCACATCTTTTGGCCAGCAGGCTTCTGCATTCAAAGGAAGTGACCCAGGCATGGTGAAAGAGCTTTAGAAAAAAAAAAACAGAAAAAACAGTTTCAGGTTATAAATTGCAGATTGTCAAGTTCAAGCTTGAAAAATTGACATTAAGAGTTCAACTATCACCTGAAATACTAGTTGTTTCTAAATTTAGCATATTTTACTTAGGGCAGTCATTTTAAATATGTGGAAGTAGCAATTATAGTATGAACAAATACTATTATTTAAAATTATCATCTTTCAGGGGCCTGCCAAGTGGCTCAGTTGGTTAAGAGATTGCTCAAGAGTGCGAGCTCTGAGCAACAGGGTCGCCGGTTCAATACCCAGCCCGAGCTGAGCTGCCACTGAGCTGCCAACAGGTGGCAGGATGGCTCAGCTAAACAAACAAACAAATAATCTTCTTTCAGAAAGGCTTGCACTGCATTCAAAACTAGATATCTTTAGATTTAAAACATGATTAGAAGAAAATTCAAATAAGATTCTTCCATGTTGTAAAGAACTATAACATAAAATAAAATGACAATTTGGTAATATGGCCCACAAATTAGAATTCAAGTAGCTGATCTATTCCTGGCCACCGAAAAAAGTTTAAATAAGTCATTCATTCATTCATCATAGATATAATGATTATTCAGCTATTGACTTTATAAGACTTTAAAAATTATTAGATGAGGGCCAGCCGAGTGGCACACTGGTTGAGTTGGCTTGGGACGCCAGCTCTGAGGAGCAGGGCCCGGGTTCAGATCCCACATGTGAGCCAGTGACGCTGCGCCCTCTACAGCTAAGATGGTGATCAACAGCTTGACCTGGAGCTGGGCTGCTGTGAGTCGTCGGCGTAGGCTGCAGCCCCTGCTGCAGTGAGCTACTGTGAGTGGCTGGCAGCTGCCATGAGCGACTGCCTCACCTGGGAAGAGCACAATGATAACACCAACATGGGCCAGTGAAGTGACATCCTCCACAGCTAGACTGAAGAACAAAAAGGACAGCAACTTGTCTGTTCCCCTCCCCCAATTCCCCAATAAAATCTTTAAAAAATAAAATAAAAAAAAAATAAAAATTAGATCAAACAATACTGCATTCTTTACTGACCTAAACAATCCCAGTGAATAGAAAAGCCATACTATAGAAGTCTACCAAGCCAATCTATATAGCCCCTGATATTATGATCCAAAGAACCCCCTCACCCAGAACCCAAATGATTAAAATTTTAAGTTAAAGGTAAGTTCCAGGCCCATCACAGGGTCAAATGCCAATATTCTATCTTTCTATAGCTAGTGTATAGGTGACAAATGATCATAAAGCCACAAGATATCACTTAGGTTCTAAATCAAGGGAAAAAACTGATTTAAATTTGAAAACTGGTAATCCACATATTTGTGTAACAATGAACTCTTAGATAACATCTCTTAAAACCACCCCTTCTTTTTTAAAAAGGGCACTAAAAAGTTGGACACACTGTAAAGACTTTCGGTTATGTCTAGATTTATTTACCAATAGTAAAAAAAAAAAAAATTGCTAGCCACTCAAGAGCATTGCTATGTGCCTATGGGCAAGTCACATAACCTATTAGAGCCTCAATTTCTTTATAGAGGTTGTATTAATCAGAAAAATAGGAAGTGTTCTAGATATTTCAAACAGAAGGAATTTAATACAGGCAAATAGTTACAAACTTGTTGGAGGGGCTACAGGAGAAAAGGAGGGACATGGCTATTCAGAATCCATGAGCTCACATTCCTACTGAAGCTGTTGAGCTACAACCTAGAGGCCCACACTCCCAATGCTGCAGCTGCTGCCCCTGACCAAAAAAAAAAAAAAAAGATGGCTACTTCTTCCCACCTTCTCATCTCACTTGATTACTTCCAGAACCCAGCTGGCATAGGAGTCAGAAAAATGTAGTTGTCGGGCTTTGAAGAGTAGTCCAGTCCCTGATCTTTAGAGAAAGAATTCTTTCCATATCTAAACTTATACAACTCAATTTCCTTTTTAGGTACCACGTAATGGGTTGGTGCTGCTTAAGTGGCAGAATTTCAGCTCTGCATTGACATAAAGGTTTTGGCTTTGAAAGTTAACCTGGGTTAAACTGGTTCACTAACCTTCTATAGCATTTGCCAACTCACCAATAATTTGACTCCTGAAAATGAAAAGTCAAATTCTGTATTTATGTCATTTGTCCTCTGCCATTCTGCAAACTCTGGAATAGTATTAGGTATAATGAAATTACAGACTACTGTTACAGTGAGTCAATTTTTGAAATCTTGAGAGACTACGTAAAGTAGAAAGGCTGTCCCTAAACCATGAAATCTACCCTTAGCCCACAGGTCATCAAATAATGTGTGTATTAAAGCCTAACAAATAAGCACCTCGAAATATAATCATGCAATCTAAGTCAAAGGTCTTAAGGGATACCTGTTGAATCTTCCTTCTAAATACTAGAATCTTATTCTTTTTTTTTTTTTAATTCATCTGAACAATGGCATGTTACATGCCAACCATTTGGGGTATATTCAGTAGATGAACTCTGCCCTCTCAAATACTCAGTCTTATGGGATAGTAAGGTACAAATGGATAATAAGAAACAACAGAGAGTCACACCATGTTTTGGAGAGCTACCTAATCCAGCCTGGTGGCAGGCGAAGGAAAGAGAAGAAAGGCTTCTTGGTACCTGGTGCCTGACTTGAGTCTTATAAAGAGGAGCAAGCAGTGGAACTCTGCAGAAGCAAGTAGTGGAGGAACATTTTCAACAGGGTAGACAAGTAAACAAAGGCACACACACTACCAAGAACTATAAAAAGTTTTACTACTATACTGAAGTAAAATGTGAGACCACGTGTGTAGATCAAGTAGATGACAGGTCAGGAGACCTAGATATGGCTCAGATTATAAAGGTTCTGGTATGCTGATGTTAGGAAGCTTCAACTTTATCACAAAGACAAGAAGAAGCCATTAGAGAGTTCAAAGCAGGAATAACACGGTCATATTTTAGTGTGGAGATGAGTGCTTTCCCAATTTTAAAATCAAGTTAGTGGATAACAAACAATTTTTGAATGCTGTGTAGAGAATGGATTTGACTTTAGGAAGCTGATACAGCAGTCCAGATAAGACACAGATCATGAACTAGAGCAATTACTGCACGAGGGGTGAAAGACAGCTTCAAAAAAACATGGGAGCAAAGAACTGGCAGAAACTGTGACTGACTAGGCATTAGGAAAGGAAGGAAATGTTTAGGATGACTCCCAGCCTCAACTGTTTTGATTCGACAGGCTTGCCATTAGATACACTAAGTGAAGACAGAAGTAACCTCTCCATTTTGTCCTGCGTCTTTTCCTTCTCCCATGTAAACCCATGAATTTTATAATCTAAACTTTGCTACACCAAAGTTGAAATGAAGACATAAAGGGACTATCTAATGCCACCAGATTGTAAGTTTATAGTAAAATAAAAATAAGATTAAGTCTTCTGCATAGTCCACAGAAAAGAGCTCTCTACAACTAGTGTTTTAAAACAAAGACCGGTCCATGTACTTAGAAGAGGAACCCCTCCTATATGCTACCTTCTAAGTCACCAAAGCAGAGGCAGTAGGATTAACCACCTTCCCAGCCTTTCCCACAAGATTACCCTTCAGATTCTTTTCAACTCTTTAAACTGCTCTAAACATGCTGAGTATTGTAATTTTCCCTGCCTGATCCAACTGCTTGCAATGCTTTTGGAAATAAAATGGACAAGTATATATAATTTTCTGAAGGTATAAACAAGTTTATAAAAATCCATAATGCCAGGCTTTAATTCCAGAATGAATCCATATGTACCATGTTTACAATGATTGACTAGCTCTGATTAATTCTTATATTGTGGCACTTACAAAATAAGGTGTTATTCTTAAACCTCCTAGAGGTTAAATAAATGACCTGTTTTATTTGCGGAAGAAAAGGTACCTTAACTAAAATAACCCACACATACCAAACTGAATCATGACCCTGAACTAGGTATGGAAAAAATTTTTAACTCAGTCAATACTGCTCATTCTCATGGCTGTTTTCATTACACTCTCTTGGTAAAAAGCCATCTAATGTGAAATATTTAGCTTCTGGTTGAAATTGAGGAAGAGTTAGATTAGAAGGGAAAGAGGAAAATGAATACAGGGAAGTAATTGCTTCCATGGCATTTCAAACAACAAAAGGTTGATATAGTTTCGGGTTTGTAATTTTTATTTTTAAACATCCTATTAAGTATATGCTTTTATGTTGTCCTCTCCAATACTCTCTGAAGTAGGCTGGATACAAATTATAAAAAGAAAGAAAAATAAAAATAAAAAGGCCAGCTAAAGATCTGAGATGTCCTCATTATGGTGTTAACCTCAGAGAGAATGGGGTATTGTGGTTAGTTCACTATTCTAAATATCACAGAAGTTTCTAAATAGAATACAGTTTAAAAATGTGACAGTTTAAAAACTTAGCTGCATATCTTTTTATTCTTTTACTGATAAAAAGGTACTTCATTATTTTTCAGAGCATTGTATTAACAATAAAAAATGTCTAAGCAGGACAATGGGAATTCTGTATTTATAATAAAATATGTAAATTTTCTTTTTAAATTTCATCTTTAAAAAGGAGGGAAAAGGTACACTTTTACCACAGAACTCTATAACCTTCCAAAGCTCTCTTCCAACAAGAAAGCACCAACAGAAGACTCAAGTCTGTTCTAAAGTGAAGGTTCACCCCCTCTGGTGGACAAAGGGGGCCCAAGTCCTATTTCCTAGGAGGACACAAAAGGGACCACCAATATGATCCTCTGAGAATCTTGAGAGTACGTGAATGAAGGGAACTGGAAAAGGCAGGGAGAGGTGGGAAGGCAGGGAAAGAACTGAGGGTGCAGATCCAAGGGAATCCCTGATCTAGCTCCTCAATGGCTGGTTAAGGGAGGGACTTAGGCATCGATCCCAGGGAGTATGAAGCCAGCCTCTTAAGGAAGCTTTCTGCCTTCACTCTGTCCCCTGCCCTAGGATAATCTCTCCAAAATGCTTATCTCACCTTTGTCAAGATGCTATTTAAAAATGTTCCAAGTTTCTTCTCTATTATTTAGGGTTAGCCTCTTTGTACTAGACAAGGAGCTTCCAAAGAGCAAGAATTGTGTCTTGCTCATCTCTGTGTCCCTGGTACCCAGCCCAGTACTTGGCAATATGGTAGAAGCTGAATGTTGAATGAATGAAATCCTACTAGCTTTTTAATCTCAAATCTCTAACAACTGTAGGATATCATAATACTGAAGCACAACCCACCCCCCACCCCAAAACGCATAATCCTAAGAGAGGAGCTCCACGGCAATACAAGAAAGCAATGGCTGCAAATAGATTATTGGGTCAAACAAATTTGCAATCACTGTACAATCTTACCTAATCATAAACATCCATCCATAGCCCACATATGCTATCTTTCAAGGCTGTAATTTAACAAGCACTATTGGCATACTTGCTTACCTGTGATTGTTTCTGATTAAGTAGTTTTCGTGGTTATATTTTATTATCTAGATTTTTTTTCTCTTATGAGTGAACACTAATTTTTAAAATTAGCCCTAGATTTTAACCATTCATCTAAAAAACACAAACTTAGACAGTCTCCTGAAGCATTATAGCATTAACTAATATTTAAAGATAAGGTATAACATTGTAAAGGGTTTTAAGAATGCATGGGGCATACAAATTGTTATTTGCCCTACGATAAAAATTAAATTCCGGGGCCGGCCGAGTGGCGCATTGGTTAAGAGCTGGCTTGGGACGCCAGAGGGCCCCGGTTCGGATCCCACATATGAGGGCCAGTGACACTGCCCTCTACAGCTAAGATGCTGAACAACAGCTCAACCTGGAGCTGGGCTGCTGTGAGTCGCCTGCGACGGCATAGGCTGCAGCCCCTGTGGCAGTGGGTTGCCATGGGCTACCGTGTGTAACCAGCAGCCAGCGTGAGCGGCCAGCAGCCGCAGTGAGCAGCCGTCCAGAAGCCGGCAACTGATCTGCCTCCCCCGGGGAAGAGCGCAATGATGGTGCCAACTTGGGCCAGTGAAGCAACATCCTCCACAACTAGACTGAAGAACAAAACGACAGCAATGTGTCTGTTCCCCTTCCCCCAATTCCCCAATAAAAATCTTTAAAAAAAAAATTAAAAAAAAATTAAATTCCCCCTATCATTAGAGAGGCACACTTTCCTTTTAAAAGCATGACAGGATGCCATACCTGTGTGAGGGATAAAGAACTTCAGTCTCCAGGTCTGTCACTGTTTCCTCCTTCAGGCACTAGGAATTTCAAATAAGAACTTTTTTTAAAGTCATAAATTACCACACAATTCCAATAATAACTCCAAAGTGAGTTAAAATATACATTTCCTTGTCAAAGTACATTATATAGAACACAATTTGACTTTGCTTAGAAAAAAATGGTACTTAAAGCTTATAAAACTTTCCCCCCCTTATTTTATTAGCTCTTACAGTGGTAGGTTCAGTCCTGGTAATGAGCTGACATAAGTTCATATTCAGGCTTTAAACTAAGTGTGATGCTGGAAGAGTTGTAGTCATCTTTACTAAATTTGGGTTTTAAAGAATTGGGGGAAAGAAATATAAACAAGTTGTATTGGGCTAACACATTTCTGGAGTAATGAGACACATTCAAGAGCTTTCTCTGCACTCAGGAGCCTGTGGCTTCTAACAATAATTTGTGCCTCTCTGAGCCTCAATTTCCTCATCTGTAAAATGGAGTTAATATCTGCCCTCCTGGCTCATTGTGAAGGATTGTTGAGAAGATAAAATATGTGAGTGACGCTTTACAACAAAGCACCAACACTGACTACTATCCTAGTTCTTATTTTTCAACTAAAACACCCATCTTTCTAGCAAGAACTAATTATCTTCATTTATTTAACCTTATGCTCCTGTTTTCAACTTGGCCACCTTCACCTTCCCCAACCTTTTAGAGTGATATTCCCATTAGTGCTTATATTAAAAAGATAAGCATTTGATATATCAAGACAAAGGAACATCAAGCATCGTCATTATTTAATTTACGTGGAAATAAAATGGGAAGGTGACTCTGGAGCATTTTCTTTAATCCATCTGTTTTGTAGGATTGTTACTTGAGACAACAGTTCCTATGTTTAACACAGTTTCCTTTGCTCTCTAATTATGGGCCAATTTGTATCTTCCCAGAGACTAAATTCAGATGCTATTTAGTAAAGCTTTCTTTCTTCTATATCATTCAATCATTTAAGAGGTCTTTACAGATTTAGTTCCTTTTACTTCATTAAGTTCACCCTCATCCCCCCCCAAATAAATAAATCCTGAGTTTTATTGGAAAAGATAAAACTACTACATTCTAAAACAACCTCTTTGATTAAAGTATTATATTGCGTTGTCGGATAAGTTATGATGCATTTTTGTAACAAAAAACAGAAAAAAGACGTCATGACTTTTCCGACAACCCAATATATATATATATATATTTAGAGAAAATAACCTATTTTTGTTCTTTATGACCTCAAATTATGCTTTTTGTCTCAAATCATCTGCAAATTGAACCGACCACAGGGACCAGTTCTCACTGGCGGTGGTGGGTATCATTTCCTTTCCATGTGGAGGCTATTAAATATAATAGTAATAGTTCTTGCTGAAGCTATGAATGTATATGCATTTAACACAGTTTATGCCAAGAAAATTTTCCCCTGAATTGCCAATATTCCCTCTTTCAATTTTGATTATTTAAATTGGGGAGGAAAGTTGGGGGGCAAGGGAAGAAAGAGAGGGGGGAAGAGAAAAGAGAAGGGGGTGAGGAAGAGAGAAAAACGGGGAAAAGAGGTACTAGAGCAAAGTAGAAAGAAACAGAAGGGAAAACAGATTTACAGAGGACTGCTGTGCTACCTAAGCTCTCAGGAAAAACCCCTGGTGAACAAATGGAGGCAGGGAATGCCACTGTGGGGAAAAATCAGAAAGGGATTCGACTTTCCATTCTCTTTTGCAATTGCTAGAAGGGTTCTCTATTCTGACTAACACACCACTGCCAAAGTCTCAAATATGTCATCAGCTTATTTCTATCAGGTGTTTTCTGAGCAAGTGCTAGAGGGAAGCATAGGTCAGGAAGCAGCAGTTCATGAATCATAAGCACTGGGCAAGTTACCACAGAGCATGTCTGGAGGCTCCTGAGATACACATAGACAGGCATTTCCGGTTAGGCAAAGATTAAAACTGAAGCATGAATAGACTGCCTAGGGCCAACCAGGTTCATGCAATGATGTTTTCTTCTGAGGTTTAGTCAGTGTTCTGAATTTCTCCTGCTGGCTTCCTCCTTAGCCTTCATTCAAACAGGTGGTCGGAGGAAGTTCATTCAGTACACATTTTGGTACATGATAAACTACATGATGATCTTTCTCACTATTATAGGAAAGAAATCCAGGAAATTGAGAATAAGCTGCCTTTCCTCCTTTGGAGTAAGCAAGCAAAACTACTGTTAACAAAGTCTTGCCTACGCCTGTACACTCCTAGTTTTCTAAGTATAAAACACAGACATCCCTGCCTCACCCCAGGGTTACTGGTCTACTTATCAGAGATTCTACTCGGGTCTTAAGGCCCTGTTCTAAGCTACCTCTTCCAGGAAGGTTTCCTAGAGTTTTCCAATCAGGGCCTTGCACTCCTAAAACATGCATGGTATTCACACCGAAGTCTTCATATTCTGCTCTCAGTAGAATACTAATTATGGGCAGTCTTCCTATCCACACTGGGTTCCTAGATTCCTCTTGGGAGAGGGGCTGTATTTTGATTCTTTTGAAACTCCTTTGAGACCTTGAGTTAAAGGGCATTCAATTGCCTTTTGGGGGCAAATCTTATAGATTCAAGTACCTGTTGCAGCCCTCATTAGTAAGTTCTCTTAGATATCACTTTTAAGATAATTGCAGCACCAAATAGTGTCCAGAAAATTGGCTTTCTGCTGCTATTGTTCAAAACGAATGGTAGGTCGCAATCGTTCCCAGATCCTAACCTGAAAAATGTACGGATTCGAAATGGAATCAGAAGAGAACATTTGTTGGTCTTACAATGATTCCCACATGCGCACAACCCCAGCCATAAACCCTGAAAAGATGAAGACTGTGAGCTTGAAGGAATGATTACCTTCTCTTCTGTTCTAACTATACTCAGTTGACAGACAGCAACTGAGCATCACCACATGCAAGCATCAGGGTGCAGCACATTAAGAATTGAGTCCTACCACCCTTGCATTAGATTGGGTAACATTTTTTTCAACCTTCTAAAATGAAACTAAATAGAGATTCTGATATATGGCCCAGCAAGCTCCTCCGTCCACAACCCAATTGCATCTCCGCACATTCAGTCCCACTGGATTATGATTTTTTAAATTCTAGGATACCCAGGAAACACATGTTATATCAATATCAGGGTTTTGCATTTCTTATTAGAAAAGCTATCTAAAATCTCCATAAAAAATTCTCAAAATCACTCCGTTAAGAGAAACAAGATGTAAAAGGATGCTGGAGGAATATTTAAGTAAACAAGATCAAAAGGAAGGCCCAGAATTAGCTTAACAGATGACGTGGCCTTCTATGGCCCCAAACATAGCATCCATTTAACTCTCCCCATCGGAAATACCTTTTGAGAACTGGGGTTAATGAGTAAAATAGAATTGACTGAACTAAACTAGAAATGACAAAAGGGGCCAACTTACAAACTTAGAAGAGAGAAACCTACAAAGGTTAGACACAAAGAATGTCTTTCTCCTCTCCCACAAGATATGGTATTCCTGCTCTCCTTATCTATACAAAAATAACTGAAATTTTAAAATTAAAGTTTCTGTAAAAGAACGAACACAAACTGCTTAGATGACTCAAGCTACAAAGAGCCATTTGGCACAGATACATGTTAAGGACCTTCACTCTGTCTTCTAAAAGAATCTATGCAATAAAAGTCCACACCCTATCTCAGAAGGAAATATCTGCTGACTATGTGAGCACTTCCATTTGTCTTAATTTTGTCATTTATCTTGCCACTGCTTTTCATGATTCATCGCTGAAATAGAGCAAATGTTACTTAGCAGCAGCAGAACACATCATCCCACTGCAGCAGATTGGCAAAAGCATCAGCAGGCAGGAAGAGCTGCAGCAGAGGTGAGCACTGAAAGAAGCCTGTGATATCCTAAGACCAAACAGCATGACAAGCAGGGGCAACCTCACATTATCTTTTGTCCAAATCCCTCCTCCAGGGTGAGTCAGAGCAATCCTTTTTCTACCACTGATCAAGGCAGGGCACACCTTTTCAAAGACTCCATACACTAGGCTTTGACATGTCTTTGGCTTAACCCAAAACCTCTTGTGTGTGAAGGCCCTGTGGGTATCGGCCCATTACATCATCCTATCAGGTCAGGCTGGTCCTGAAGCTATCAGCAGGAGGGAGGCACAGGTGTTCCTGACACTGAGGAACCCTATTTTTTTAAACCGGCATAAAAAATATGGAGGTGGTTAGGTGGGAGGCAGGAATCTCTGATACGTGAAGCAAACACACCGAAGCAATCAAGGGCACAAGTACTCAGCCAGGTTAAATCACGGTTGTGATGCTTTCTTGCACCTGAGCTACAGAAGAAAAGTTATGTTACCCACTTTCCTTCCTCCCATTAACTCACTATGTTTGGCGGCAGGAGGACACACCCACTGCCAACCTACAACCTAAGGGTGATCTTTCCCATCCTTCGGCGTCCACCTTTTACCCAAGGCTCCGGAAACGCCCTAGCAGCCCAGCTCCTTTCTTTCTCATGCCCTCCTGATGCCCCCACCAGCCCCCCTTCTCAGGCGGCCACGGCCACTTTTCTGGCACCTCCAGCTCCTGGCTGACTATGTCACTAGAACCCTAGCCTTCAACGCCTTTCGCCTTCTCCCCTCTGCAACTCGCCAGCCCACACCAGTGTCCCCGGCCCCACCTCAGATTCGCTGCGGTGGTTTCCAGGTCCCTGGCAGGGGAGGCCCCGCACGGCCCCGACTCAACGCGCCCCATCCTCCGGGGCCAGATCCACGCCTCCGCCCTGACCCGGACAGAGCCCGAGCTCCTTCGGGCCTAGTCAAGGGCACCGCCTCCGCCCGGCCCTCACCCCACCCGCAACCCCTCAGCAGTTCAGCTCTGGTCCTTTGCGCAGGGAACTCACCCAAAGGTGACCGAGAGGTGGTCAAGGAAACACAGTGAACCTCGAAAGCGCAGTACGCGGCGCCTCCTCTCCGCCAACAGCTTTATACCGCTCACCCACCCAACTCCGGCACCGCCGGGAGTCGGTGGGAGACGGGTCAATGGCTCCAGCAGCCAATCGTGGCCCGCAGAGTAGCCCGGCAGTGCCCGCCCCCCAGCCCAGCTTCTACCAATCGGAAGGAAAGTAGAGGCGGGCACTCGCTATAGTTTTCCTTCGTGGCTGGAAGGGCGGGTGGAAGGGCGGGGGAAGGGGCGGGGACAAAATCGAAGGGCCGAGGAAATGGGGTGAGAGAGTGACGTCAGGTGGCCCGAGAGCCGGCCTGCCAATGACAGAGCGGCGCGAGACGGCGAGAGCCAACGGGAGCGGAGTGAGAGGTTCTCCGACCAATTGGAGCCGAGTGAGGGGACGTGGGGGCCAATGGGGCCTCCGCGTCCCACCACTGGGGAGAGGTGGTAAAGTGTGGGAGGCAAGTTGGTTCCAGCTTGAGAGTCTGAGGTTGCCTAGCAACCAGAGCTAGGCTTCTCCTGTAAGATTTCTGAAATACTTGCTTTGAATTCAATCTTAACGTTTTCTGGGTTCCAGAGCAGGTATGTGAGCCAGCATTTCAAGTTGTAACAGAATACGTCACCCAGAATTTGTAAATCAGTAAATATTCTAAATACCCGATTTGTAAATACCCGACATTGTCACCTGTATTCAAAACTACTTTGATTTCTTTTTAAAGAGACTGCTATGGGACAATTCTTCCTAACTAAAGCTAAGACAAGGTAGTTTGGGGTTAGACACCAGGGAGGAGAAAAAGGGCTTTGCCTGAACAGGGAAGTTGATCCCGTTCTAGGCTTTTTGCTAGCCCATGCACTCTGAGGGAAGGGGCTCCATCCAACCCGTTTCCCACTGTATCTTCTGAGCTTGTTATATGATAGGTGCCAAATAAAAGGTGTTGAAAGAAGGAAGGCACCCTATCATTCTCAGTATAGGGAATCCACAGGATAAGGACTGCCTAGCTGCCCCAGAAAACAGAAGAGCAATTCAAGCTGGAGGAAATCACTGAAATACTTTGGGAGAATCCAAAGGAGGATAATTATGGCTTTAAATTAGACTCTACCTCCTCTACTCCTCACATAGAGAAACCATAATACTTAGCTTTGGTGGGGGACCATGACAGGTTCAGAGTTGTTTGTATCTCTAGCAGTTTGGAAGCTGTTAAGGGGTTACTGATGGTTCTGTGCATCACATAACTAGTTATGTGAAATTTATTATTCACTATAGATACTAACCTAGTAGAGATATTCTCAGCAACCAAGTGGCAAAATATATTCTCCTGAACCACTATGAAGTGGTGGCATAAGTTGTTTGGGGGACCACTCAATAATGGTTATCACTCCACAATGTGGCCCATGGCATTCATTCTGTTCTAGAATCAATGCCATTTCATGCCTTCATAAACTAGACAATAAAGAGAGAGACACTGTCTGATTGTGATCAACAACAGTTTTGAGAGGGAAATTAAACACTCCTGGCATATAAGAATGCATTGAAAGGTTCTTATGGACAAACACAAGAAAGATACAGCTTCATCCTTCGAAAAGAACAGCAAATAGTTCCAACTCCAGGAGTACACAATAGGGAATGATTAGCCAGATAGTCTTGCACAACAGGAAATTCCCAAAGACTGCTTTTTTTTTTTAAATCAAATTAACCTTCAGTGAAGCAAACTGAGCATGGTTATTGATTATTGGGAAGGCAAGCAATGGACAACAAAATGGGCTAGTAATTAAATGTAGCACGTCTGAATTGATTTTAAAAAACAAGCCTCAGGTTCCGTGAAATATAATAAGAGATTATACCAAGTTACACAAATATTAGGTATGGTCATGCAATTGAGGACAAAGTATACATATATTTATTTTGGAAGGGGCTGCAAGTTTTTTGAGCTACAATTTGAGACAGCACAGTGAAGTCAATGTTGTACTTAAATGTGTATTTTAAGACATGTTAAGATATGTTTTAGTTTTTTGGGTTTTTTTGGTTTTTGGGTTTTTTTCAAAGATTTTTATTGGGGAATTGGGGGGATGGGAACAGACAAGTTGCTCTCCTTTTGTTCTTCAGTCTAGTTGTGGAGGATGTTGCTTCACTGGCCCAAGTTGGCACCATCATTGCAC